TACCAATTTTATACCCTCACGGTATCTTTGACATGAAATCATTGGCTATTTAATGGGCTATGTTCATGAACTCAAATTTCCTAAACCTTTCACTCATGAGGAGCTGCTTAGCTAAGACTACTCTACTTACTTGCGTGACATGGTTTTCCCTAATACTAACAATCATAGGGTATCATGCTCTTAATCTAGCCTCCTTATGAATCAGTGAAGACTATTTAGGTTTAAGTCTCTCAAAGAACAAGTGGGACAATTCTTATACAATAATAGGACAATGACTACCTCCTGATTATAACGGTTGACAATCTGGCTAACTTTCGATTCTAATGGTGAGCCATCAATACCATGTGAATTTATAATATCTACTCCTCTACTTATAAGCAAACTCCTGCCTTATATGATCATGCCATGTACAAATTTTCAACATGTAGCATGTAAAATTATACTTACTAATAGCATGCAACTTTTATTGACATCAATCTCATCATATCTTGCTTATCAATATCATGAACATAATCATGCTTAACACAAGTCTCAATTCACAATTTTTCTTTTTCATAGGCACCCTTATACACTTTAATATCTACTCACAACAACATTCATATATAACATATATTTCTCACAAATGTCATTTACATTGATTTTATCGCATCATATAAACTTATTCATATTGCCACAACTTGCATCAAATAGTTTTACAATATTTAAGGTTTTTAAATAATTCTTTTCACATACAATCAATTAATCAAGCAAGTACACAAACTAAATTTCTCCCTATTACATCAAACCTTTAAGAGGTCAAATGTTACCCTTCAATCACAACTTGCTTTCAGAGTTAAATTCAAGCTTACCGGTGCTTTGTAAAGTTAGTATACAATTACATTAACATCCATCACTAATAATTATCAAAATTATTACTTCTAACATCTAATCTCATACTTTAATAACTAAATTTCTCAACTATAAAATCAACCTCACATCCAATGAGTTTATTAACTCTCACTAACTTCATTCAGCTTTTAACAACTTAAATAATTATTAATATATCATCTAACAATCCAAAATCATCATCAATATTACAAATTACTTACTTCTAACTCTTAAATTTAAACACTTCAATCATTCAAAACTCTCAACTCTTGAGTTTAATTATCATATTAGGTTTATTAACTCCCATTAGCTCTAATTAACACCAACACAATCCTTAATCAATATCAATGGCAGCCACCTATATCAACCATTATTATTTATGGCACTTTAGGGCATAACTTCATCCATAATTGAGAGCTCACTCTCATGAACGCATAAAACCACTATATCTAGGCCTAAATAACTTAAATAACTCTTAGTAGTGTCATTTAGACTAATAGATTCAGACCCATAATCCTAGGTTCGAAAATCATCATGTCTAAGCCTTAAATCTTACTACCAAAACGTGTAGAGAGAAGAAAGTGAGATAAGAAAGACATACTTAGGTGAAATCATGCTCTAATCACCTCTAAAATGCCTAAAAGTTAATGCCCTAGTAGAGCAATTACTCCCTTTATCGCCCTCCCTCTATTTCTAGCCTTCTTTCCCTGTTTCAAACCTTTTTTTGTGTTTTAAGAAAAGTTGATTCTGAAAATTATGTTGCACTGTAAATTTTTATGCTGTAACGTAATATACTAGGTCAAATTTAATTTTTTTCTATAATTTAAATTCAGGTGACCCAATTCACTTTTGAACCTAATTCAAAGGCTAAACCTAAACCTAATAGCCGTCTTTGACTATCTTCAAACCCATTTATATTTAAATTTATATATTTATCTTTCATTAACTTAATTAATTAAGGAAATAATTTTTGAAATGCTACAAAGCTTTTAGAAGACAATACATCTTGCATGGATATTATAACGTGCTAGATGTTTCTAGTTGCTTTTTATCACAAAAAAAAATGTTAAGCATTGTTACCCTTTATATTAAATCAAAATGATGGAGAAGAAAAGCTCACACAGTTGCAAGCACTGACCTTAGGACACTATGTCATGCACCATTTCATGTTTGTTGTAAGTTTTGATTAAATATCCATAATCTTCCTTAACTAATCCAATTCTAGCTCCATTATCCTTGACCAAGAATGATCCATGTAACAGTACGGAGCCACCCCTTGGGCCTCGACTCGGTACTGGACTCTGGCCCATCACTGGACCAAAGCCGACTTTCCCACAGGTGGTACTGTGGTTATTCCTCACCACTGCCTCTCCAGGGTCTTTTGGAACCTCCCCAGACTCGAACCTCCAACCTCTACCACCTTAATGAAGTTGAGGCGAAAGTCTGGTACCATTTTCAATGGTACCAGACTTTGCCTCAACTTCATTAAGGTGGTAGAGGTTGGAGGTTCGAGTCTGGGGAGGTTCCAAAAGACCCTGGAGAGGCAGTGGTGAGGAATAACCACAGTACCACCTGTGGGAAAGTCGGCTTTGGTCCAGTGATGGGCCAGAGTCCAGTACCGAGTCGAGGCCCAAGGGGTGGCTCCGTACTGTTACATAAAAGGCGTGGTTCAATGGTACCAGGTTCAGCCTCAACTTTGTTATGTAGGAGAGGTTGGAGGATCGAACCTGGGGAGGCTCTCCGCAAGGGGAATAATCCGCACACTACTGCGGGGAAGCCTTTGTCTCCTGATGCTCACCGAAAGGGGTGGGGTCGCCCTGTTGTGGGGCCTGGGGGGAGAGTGTCCAGCGCCGCAAAAGACCACGGGTAGGCGGGGTGAGCGGAGGGCTGTTACAATCCATCCCATTAATTTTAATTTCTTTCATCATTGTAAGTCCTAACCACTTATGAATGTTTAGCATGCAGCCCAAGATCAACAAAAAGTATGTTTGGTGGGAGTGGCCATGGTTGTGAAGAAAGTCAATAATTATTAGCTAAAAAGCATAATTTTTTTTTAAATTTTAAAGTAGTTATATATGATTCTCCTCATACTTAAAAATTTAAAATTAATCCTTAACCTTTAATTTTTTTTAAAACCCCTACTGTTAATTAAATATTTTTATTAAGGGTTGAAATGTTGTTTAACTAAAAAAATATTATTAAACAAACATATTATATTGTAAAATTATCTATAATCAATTTCTTATATTTTTTAGATAATTAAGGCATCGATAGCCCAAAAAAATATTATTATTACTATATAAAATTTTAAATATTTATGTTTATATTAGCTTTTTCAATTTTTTTTATTATCAATGGTGCATAGTTTTATTGTTTTAAAGGATAAATTTTTATTTACATTTCTAGGTTAGATTAATTTAATGCACTTGGTTAAAGTATTTAAAATTTTAAATATTACTAGGTTAGATTACTTTATCATTTAATATAAGAAAACTAAGCATCAGTGGTAACAAAAAAAATGGATAAAATTAATACAAAAGTAAATATTTAAAATTTTTAGAGTGATAATAATATTTTTTTTACTATCAATGCTTCAACTATTTAAAAAATATGAAAAATTGATTAGCTATAGTTCTATAATATAATATTTTATTTAATAATATTTTTTAATTAAATAACTTTTTAACCCTTATAAAAAATAATATAATTAATAGTAGGAGGTTTTGAAAAATAAAATTAAAAGTTAAAAATTAATTTTAAAATTTTAAAGATAAAAAAATTATATGTAACTATTTTAAAATTTACGAAAGTTTTATATATTTTAGTCATAATTACTTTTCTAACAACAAGATAACAGGATACAGGGGATATAGAGGCACATGTGAGTCAAGTAAGGCCGTGCATCACCTTAACCCCGTTGCCTGGCCCGATATGCAATTTGGACAAGCATTATACCCTTAGTTTGAGTCAGGTTTGGCCCAACCCTTTTTTTAAAAAAAAATAATTAAAATAAAAATTAATAATCCTTTGAAATTATATATACTTAAAATTTATTCATTATTATTTTTATATTATTAAGTTTAAACATCACTTTGAAATATTGAAAATGATCAAAAAATTAAAATCATAAAACATATCAATAATAATCATATGAACAAGATGTTACCTAAAATATATTAAAAAAATATCCTTTGGCTTTTTAAAGCCAACTTTGTTTGCATCGCGTGCCATTGAGTTTTTGCACCAAGAAGGTCTTTGTATTTTTGGCCCCTTCCCGAACAAAGATATGATCGAAGTTGAAACACCTACACTATTTATGGAAATCACTCGATTTGAGATTCAATACTTATTAGTATGGATTAACTTTTATTGTTTTTAATAAATTGTCCTTTATTAAAAAAGAGTAAAATAATATTAGAAAAGGAAAAAATAAGTGATATTTTTATAAAAATAATCTAGATTTAAATATAATAAATTCAAAATTTGAAAATTGGGCTTAAGTGAACTATAAAAAGAACCAATTTTATTAAACTCAAAAATAGAATTATATTTAAAAGATAAAAATACCCCTAGAAATTAAATTTAAGATAACTATATATTAAAAGTTTCATTGTTTTTTAATTTCCTCAAGTATTTAGTATATAAATAAAATATTATATATAAGCAAAAAATTTTATAAAAGAAATATTATCAATATATAAATATACAAAATACTATATATATAGATTATAATTTATATACAGACTTCTATGCTTATAATAACGTCAGAATATAGAATCAAAAACAAAAAAACAAAATAACGATGGCAAAAAGAAAAAAGCTAACAAAACAAACTCAACCACCACCATTTAAAACATTAGAAGTTTTGATGAACAAAAGCTTTATACTTAAATGCCTTATAAGGTAAAGTTGTTGTTTTTAAAAAAAAATTATGAGGGTAAAATTACTTTGAAAAATAGAATTTTATGAAGTTGTTCTAGATTTTATAACTTTAAATAAGAAATTTAATTTAAATTTTTTGTATGGAATTAAAATTTATGAGAGTTTTTAATTCGCATGTACCAAGCGTTAGTTTATTAAGATTCCTTCCCTAATTTCATCTCATCTTTAGAATTCAGCCTACCAAACAGGGCCAGTTGCTCCTATTAACAAGGAACTCACAAACTTCAAGGATAGTTATCCATCTCATCCAAAAGAACCACACATATCTGAGCTCCGATTTCGTTTGTTTGTTTTGGCCTCGCGTTGTTCAGATAATCAGATTAATCAAATGCTAATGGCTTCAATGTGACTTCTTGGATGGCGAAACGTTATCCACTAGCAGAGGCTATTTTGTGGCGTGCTGTTCTTCTTCTTGCTTCGAGCGTTCTCACATTTTCCCTGTGTGTTCTGATTTCTAACCCTCCAGCCCTAATGCTGAAAAATTTAGGGTTATGGTCAATGGTACAGACATCACTACCCCCTATCCCTGTGCTGCAATCTTCTTTGGCGAGAACTCGTCCTTGTAATTCTGGCTTCTTCTCTACCGTTCAAGCCTTGAATCTGAGTGGACAAAGGATTTTGAGCGCTTTGTGTGGCGCGAGGCGGCGAGTTAGGTATGAAGATGAAGAAGAAGACGGGCACAACGAGCAGATTGCTAAGCTGGAATTGTATAGTCAATCGGCTAGAGGAGAAGCTCTGCTTGTTCATGCTCTCGTGGATGATGAGGAAGTGGACGTGCTTATTTTCAAGGTCAGTTTACTCCTGAAATAAAAGAGAGTTTTAATTCTATACCGGAGAAATTATTCATAATCAGAACCCTAGTCCCTAGCTGAATGCCTGAATTCACACGGAGAAAGACACGCCTGCTATATTTGCCAAACTGTATGGAAGAAGGTAATTTCCGACAAATGGTTGCTTCTCCCAAATGGATTTCGGAAGATGTAAACTGATATCCAAATATGCAATGAGTTTGTTGACAAAACAGACATGAATCCAGATGTGTTATGTTCTTAATTTCTTACGAGTAAACAATTCCTAGTTAATAACCTGTTGAAATTGAACAATGGGATTGAATTATCGAGAAGGCTGGTTTAGAATCAAGATGAATACTGGTAATGCGAGACTTTTGGTAATCTTCTGGAATTTTTGTGATGAGAGTTTGCAGATATGTTCACAAGTGTTAATGTTTTAGTGGAAACATTTCAGGGATTCTCTTCTTCCTTGAGCTATAGAACCTCACCTGACCCAACAAAGAGCATTCTTCCATCGAGGGCAGTGATAAAATCCATTGATAGAATCAAAGGGCCATTTGACCCTAATAACATTGAGTATCTGGAGAAAGGTCTAACCTGGGAAGCATTCCTGCACACATATAGTTGACCACTATGAATCTATGATTACGAATTGAAGAGTTTGTAACTTTTTGAAATTGGGCATCATTGTTTTTCTTTCATTATTATTATTGCTATTATTTTGGCCAAAAAATTATTATTGTTGTTGTTGTTGTTGTTATAACAAAAGTTTTCCTTCATTATTCTTACCGGATCTGTCTTCGATGTTGAGCACCGACATGCTCATCACCTAAATAAAATGCTGAGCATAAAAAATGGACCCTCTTTTTACCATCACTTTTTGTTGAGTTGACACTTGGCGCTGCTTGTGGGAAGCAATGTTCAATGTCGCTTTTACTGTATGGGTTATGTAAGGATGGTGTATTTGATAGAAATAATAAAGAAATTCATTTGCTGCACAAAAATGAAAATATGCAATTTTTATGAGTACGTACTTATGCAATCATTATTCAATAATACTTATTTTTTATATCATATATTTCAATTGGGGGCATAAATTTATTTTTCATATTAAAAAATATTTTTATTCCCATTTTATTTTACTTCGTGTACCGAATGTGATCTACACTTTTCATATAAAATTACTAGATAAGGGAAAAAAAGAAATATGAGATATCCCATCATCTAGGAAGAATTTTTTTTCTTAAGAAAAAGATCAACTTACAGTAATAGAAGAAGAAAAATAAGACAAAATTATTAAAGATCTGTTTGATTTTCAGTTTTACCATTTAAAAAGCCCTTCTAAAAATGTGATTTGAATGTAAATGTTGTTTGACTTATTTTCAAGAATTTTAAAAGTGGTTTTGTAAATGTAAATAGTGGCATTGAAAACCCTCTATTTAAATATAATCATGACTTACTTTTACTTTTAACATTTTGAAAGTAGGTGCATTTATCAAGAAAAAGACATTTTTAACTGCCTATTTTTTCCATACTAACCTGATATGCACGTTCATTTTTCTCCACCCTCTTCTATTGAACCAGAGTCAACGTGCATTATTTATATTTATATTTTTATTATATTTATATTAACTCTAATATTTATGTTAGGTATCAAAATGGGCATCATAAGTTTAATAATTAATCATGTTAATATCTAGTATTAATCTACATTGAATTACTCCCTCCGTTAAAAAATATAAAGTATTTTTAACCGAATCTTACTCCCAATAAAGTAGTTACCTACTTTTAAACTAATCTTATCTTTTCATACTTACGCCTATTAAACACCTTATAATAAATAAAAAGTCATTATCTATAGGGACACTTTTAAAAAAAGGCAATGATTACATCTCAAAAGATTAAAAATGTTTTACATTTTTTAACATCCAACTCCTCAAAAAATGCTTTACATTTTTAAATAGAAAGAGTATTTATATAACTTTTTGTCAAATAGATCAAACCTTATATTTTTTTATTCTTATTATTTAACATAACAGATTTTATTTAATCATGCTATTCCAATTTTAATATATTATTTTTATTTAAAAATACTGTTAATTTATTAAAAATATAATCATCATTTAAATAATAATAATTAGAGATTAAGTTTTTAGTATTATTTGAGCATAGGGGCATATCTTGGCCCAATAAACTCCTGGGATCTAATTTATATAAACTTTTTTTGAATCAAAAAAATTTATCATATATATTTGATTTGAATCATGTTAATTTTTAATATTAATGTATGTTGAACTATTTATTATGTAATTTTTTCATTATATTAAAGTTTATATTTTTTATTTTTATTATTTAACTTATCAAATTTTACATTATTTAAAAATTTTATCACATTTTTTAATCATTTTAATATATTACATTTGTATAAAAAAATTATAAATCATCATAAATTAATGGCTTTTTTAGTAATTGTACAATCAAAAGCACATTTTACTACATATAATCCAAACAATTTTCAATTTACCAAACTGACTTTTGAATAAATGTATTCAAACATAAATTTTATTACAATAATGGACTTTCATTAAACTAACTTTTTTTAAATAAACTTTTGATAAATTGACTTTTGACTAACGAAAAACCAAACATAAACTAAGTCAAAGTAATAAAAGAGAAAGATAGAAAAGTGTTGTGACGTGTGTGATTGTGGTTTGGAGCGTGTCCTCAAAAGAGTGAGTTGGATTAGATGATCAAGTGGGTTCGCAAGGTGTAACATTCTCAAAACTTAAACCAGACTAACTAAATCTAATTAGAGTAATTAAATTTATTAGTGAAATGGGTGGCCAGAAAGGCCTAACAGGCGTGTTTGATTGTAGTTTCAGCCTTAAATGTAAGTTTGAAGTGAAGTCAGGTTATTCGAATGTGAAAGAGGGAGAAAATCTAAATGATGAGATTCTGTGTCACACATCACGGCTTGTGATTGATTTGTCATGGTGCATGTGTGTCCAATAGCCAAAGAAGGGCCTCTTTATGGCATGCGCCACAGTGCTTGATGCATTTGTCGTGACGCATAGTTACTTTTCTATAGAAATAAGAACGTGAAACTGATGCAGAAGAGGAGAGAAACAAAAGAGTGAACAAAAGAAACGTAAGGAGCTTTGCTAAGGATTGAGATTTGGAAGCATTGAGAGTATTTTAAAGTTTCTAAACACTAGAGGTAAGTCTTCTAAACTTAAATCTATCTTTCTCTTCCATTTTCTTGATGTTTAGAGTTAAGGTTTGGTTGAGGAAGATGATTTTCAATTCATAGAGGCTACGGGTCCGAACCCATTAACTTAAATAGAGTTAATAGGGTTGATTAAGCTAATAAAACCTAATATTTATGGTTTTGTGAGTGTTGGTGGTTGGGGGACAATAAATACCTGGAAATCCCATTATAAATATGGCAGTTAGGGCAATTGGCTCCATTAATAGTTTTTTAAGAGTTCAATGAGATTAATAAAAGTTAAAGGAAGTTTACAAGCCCTATGGATACCCTTGTATGAGAAGAGCTTGAATGTTAGGAGTGAAGAAGTGTTTGAGTTGATAGTGAAATTTATCCAAAAAAAAATATTGATGAATTATATTATAATTAATTGTAAAATGAGTATATTTGGCACCATTCAAACTTCATGGAAGCTTTGAGAGTGTGTACTTGAGGGCTAAAATCTTTAACCTCTCAAAGGTTGAAGGCAATCGAGTGAAACTCTTTCTTGTGCTTTTGTGTGTTAATTGATTTACTATTTTAAAAATGTATATTTGGAGTATGTGAAGTTATTTAAAATGTAGTGGCATGAAATATTTTGAAAATTAAATATGATTATATGCAATAGAGTTCCATGATTATGTGTGATTGAATAGAGTCTATTGATATAGTTTATGGAGTTCTATGATATGTGTTAAATGTGAAGTTTAATGAATGTGAGAAATTGAAAGCTCCATGAATATTCATGATGTGGAGTTTAATGATGTGTGATTTATGAAGTTAATGACTATGTGAGATGTAAAGTTTTTTGATTAATTGTATATTGAGAAAATGTATAGTAAAATGAAGTGAGTTGACACGTTAATGTGTGAAATAACTACATACTGTGAGAAATTGCATGATCATAAGAGGTGAGAATTCATCTAGAAAGAGGTGCAGCAAATTGAAATTCATGTGGTTAGGTTTTCATTTGAGCTTGATGGTTTTCCTAGACTGTTTACATTATTGTCCCACTTATTCAACGAGGGATTGTCCTACTACTTTAATAATAGACTTAAACCTAACTAGTTATCTATTTGTTTAATGAGGAAGCTAGTCTAAGGAGAATGATACCGCATAATGTGAGAAATGGGAGGAACCATGACTCACAAGTGAGTTAAAAAATCTTGGTCAAATAACCTCTCAAACATATTGGGCTAAGGTAGTCTCAGTTTTATAAACAATCCTAATGTGTTATAGTTTATGATTTCGTGTCAAAGGAATAAGAGGTATATAAGGGAGGTGTGATCATGTATATAGTGAAAAATGCACATTATAGTGAAAAAAGGCACATAATTGTTTATATTGTGACCCTAGTAAAACCAATCATGTGATTGGTCTCATTTTTATATTGAATTGTATTATAAAACCATTACCTTATGAGCATATGTTATTATGAATGTGAATCTTGAAATGTTCTCTCGAATGCGTCATATGATTTGAATATGATATCCTTACCATTTGCATTTAAATTGATTTACATACATTATTACAAGTTAGATGGACCTTAGTTACTAAGTGGCTGTACTCACCCCATCATCTTTAATATTATACAAACTAGCTTATTGGAACAAGACCAAGGGAAGCAAATTGAGGCTTAAGACTTTAATCCTAACTCTATAAGCCTCTATATTTTGAATATTATAGTGTATATTTATTGATAACATTGCCCACTAAGAGTTTACATATGCACTTACTTGCATTACATGTTATTGATGAATTGGGTATTTTACGTCTTAAGTTGAGTATGTGTATGATTGTGTAATCTACTATAAGACCAAAATACTAATGCAAGTAAGAAGTAAGTGAGATGGTGACTTTGGTGAAATGATATGATGATTTATGAATTTAAGGCTCCCCTTTTTATTTTTGTGATTAAGGGGTTGAATAATGAACATGTGTTCTGTATATATTATGAATGATGTGGTGCATTATATAGGTCTGTTTTAATCCATTAGGTGTGGTCTGGGTGATATTTGTAGCTTTTAGCTTTTAGTGTGAGTTTTGTGCACTTAAGTTATGTGTAGACTGTGAAAAAGGGTGAATTTTGAAATAAGTGTCCAACTCTTAACTAAGAGATAATTTGATTGTGAAATTAAAGCCATTAGCTAAAGCTAGAAAGAACCTCTCCATAGATATCTAGATTGCCTCAATTGAACATCGGATAGAAAAATAAGGCACGTCAAAACTTTTCTCAGTTGCTAACAAATGATAGCAAAATTTGCTGTCAAAATTGTGCAATGTACCATGACGCATAGTATCTGAGCCCTGTGTATGGCACAAAGGCTCACAAGCTGTGACAAGCTGCAGCATATGCCTCTTTTTCTGCACTAATTCACTATTTTTCAATTTTTATGTAAATGCATTGATTCTTTTTGAGATCTTATGCTTTTGCATATTGATCAAACTTTGATTTTTGATTTGTAAAGATCTTTTAGGTTGTTTTAAATCTTAAAAACTTGGGATTCTATTTGTGTAATTTTTCCAAACTTGGTAATTATAAGATTTATGATTTAGGAGGATTAATAAGGGTAACCTTACTTATCTAATTTGGAGATTTTACACAAGGTCCTTTATGATAATTTCCTTGGAGAGTTAAGTAAATGCAAGAAATTAAGAGTGTGCTAAGTGATGCGTGAAACTTGTTTGTATTACTGATGCATTAATACAATGGGTACTTTGTAAAGATGGAGATGAAAAGAGAAATACAAACTAGCTAGGAAGCCAGGCTTGCATAAATGAAACAATTTGCATTGAGTGAAGTTAGTTAATGCGGAGTCAAAATTGGTATTTTGTGTTGGGTAAGTCTGAGTAAGTTTGATAGAGTGTCAAGAGTCCTTTTATTATGTACTTGTTGTCTATTTATAAGAAAATGGCAATGACATGCTCCTTTGAATTTGAGCCTTGGCCCTAGAAGGAATATATAATTTTTCATGTCATTAAGTCACCGAGGGTGTGCCTCATTATGCAAAGTAGAGGGAGCGAGTGGGTTGAGAAACTCGAGAAGTAGAAATGGTGGGTGAGATTATGCCATTAACTTCTTAAACGTGATGTTTTGCTTACACATATGGGATTGGTTCGTTGTTAGGTTGATTACCTCTTAAATTGGATTAGCCTTTGGTTGACATTTTAACATGGTGAAATTGAATTCGGCTAAATATAAAGTGCTTTCATTGATTGCACGTGATGTATTGGCCATGCCTATTTTCACTGTGTCTTCAGAATCTGCATTTAGAACAAGAGGTCGTGTAATTGATGATTTTAGGAGCTCTCTATCTCCAAAGATGGTTGAGGCACTAATTTGTGCCCAAAACTAACTATCTCCATCAACTATAAAACTGAAAGGTGTTGATGTTGATAATTTTAACGATACAGCTGTGGAAGGTAATATCATTTTTTGTATTTGATTATTTCTTTTAATATGATTTAACTTTTTGTTTATCTATATTTAATAATTTTTGTTTATATTGTGTTTATTTTTTATTTTCAGAAGAATCATTGGCTTCAAATATCTCAGTTGAAGAGGAAGAGCAATGACTTGAAGTTGAAGTTGTGCTTGGGGCTTAAATTGTTGATTCTTGACTTATTGTTGCACTTATTACTTGGAAGTTACTTGTCTTTGTTGAGCTATATTTGCTGAATTGTTATTGTTTTTTATCTTTTGAATGTTGCTGCTGCCTGTTGAAATGTTCTTTGTAGACTTGATTTAATTTGATTTTCTGTTACTGCTTTTTTTTCCTTTAGTGGAAAATCTTGGTATTTCCAAAAGCATCATTTTTCTTGAATTTTTTTCTACATGACTAAGCATATTCTTGTAGGGAAGATGACAGTATCACTGGTTGAGACTACATTGTATGAAGAAAGTCGAGAAAAAGTGGCAAGTTTAGTACCTTGACACAGTAAGCTTTGCTTACAAAGCATGCAGTCAATTTGTGTCCTTTAATTTGTCCTCTAATTTGTTTATTTCTTTGCCATAGCAATTTTTAAGTATCAGGGTTATGATGCGAAAGAGCTTCCTGAAGAGTACAGTGAACCACTTATGAATTGCAGGGGCACGCTAAAAAAAGGTTCTTTCTCAAAACTTTAATATGTTTTTACAGTAATTTCAATTCTGCAATTAATGATAAATTAATTATAGGAATACTTCAGGTGAACATCAAGACTGAATTTTTTATTTCAATATAATTTTGCTGGGAACGAATTTGAAGTGATCGAGAATATGGGAAGAATTTAAGTGCCGTTCAAATGGAAGCAGTATGAGGTAATTTTTTTTTCTCTCCAAATCTCCCATAAAATTAGGACATTGTTGAGAAATATTTTTAAAAAAAAAGATCTAGATGTTGAGTTGTGAACAAAATTTAATTTATATGGTTGAGTTGTGAATAAAAGATTTAGATGCTTTTTCTTGTCAAGTAATAAGTTGAAAGATTGAAACAATCTCGTTGATTTGGGACGTCCCGATCCCATCCCGACTCTTTTATTTCGAGATGGGACGGGACGGGACACGGGATAAATTTTTAGTCCCGATCATTTTTTGGGACAGGTCACAGAATGGGAGTGTCTCGGTCCTATCCTGTTCTGTAAACACCCTTATTGCTTACACTTGGGAGATTGGTTTGCTATTGGGTTGACTCGCTCTTCAAATTGGATTGGGCTTTGGTTGATTATCTCTGGTACGCCATTTTTTGTCCAAACAATAGTAATTTAATTTTATCTGAGTATCACTTTTCGACCTACAATGAATCAGGAGAGGGGTGTCTCTCTCTCTTTTCCCCCTTATTCTCCATCTTCCTCCTTTTCTCTTTATCACCATTAGATAAAAGTTTTTCAACAACTCGGATTTGATATTTAATAAAATTATTATAAAATACTTCAATGGAACACATTCCTGTGAGAAATGGCGGGTATAAATAAAATATTATAATTTTAAATTGTTTTGATCAAATTACTCCAATGAAACACGTTCCCGTTACACTCAGTAAAACTACAGCTTCCTTAGTACACTTTGCCTTTTACTTACCTGATACGATGTTTCGTTACATGCCTTTAGCAAAACAAAATCTGCTTCTCTTGGCTCATGAAAGGCGTTGCCATCAATTTTTCCGGGTTAGAGTCTCTTGTGAAGGTTTAAAAATTCTGGTTGAGCACAGTATATTTCTGTGACAACACAGAATTCACATTCATGGCCAGCATCATCTTCGAATTGAGTCTAGACTAGCATGAACTATGCTTCACATGGGTAAGATGGTTTTATAGAGTTCTACGCAGCTATAGATTTTCGATCTCAACTGGGAAGCAAATGGAAGGCCATATTATCCAACTCTTTGATGAATGCTTGACGGGTTTTAGGAATTTGCTTCCTCATATCAGAGCAAAGTTCCCTCGAAACATGCTTGAACCTCTTATTCTTCATAATTTCTAGCATGAGGGATATATGAGGGTGTTAATTATTACCTGCGGTTGGCGATACTTTTTATGATTTCATGCAAGTGAATGAGAATGATGATGGTCATCCTAACTTAACTAACTTAATGAACAATGGCCATGTGTAACTTTCATGCACTTATCATCCTCACAGGTCTCCGACATCAGTTCTTCCAGACAATAATGATTTCTCTGATATTAGCTTTGTTACATGCACTAACCTTCATTCTCCTCACATAGTTCATAGTCGTGCATGCAAACGCAAGCTCATTCTGTTTCTTAATGCAGATACAGAGCATGATGGAAATGGTTTTAACAGAGTTTTTTGGTAAAAAACTCTACATGAATGCATGATACGGTGGAGAGCCTTCATGGGTAGTAGCAACATGAAGGCCCATTTTAAAGGGCTGCTGTTTTGGGTTTCCTTTCACTTATTCTGGCATTGTTTTCATTTTCAGTTTGCTTATGTTAGTTTCTGGTTTTTTTGTTCAGTGTTAGCTGTGGCATGTTATTCAGGACCTTAATGGCAGAATTTTCAACTACCCAAAGCTTTGGTTTGGGTCTCACAACTCCTACAGGAGATTTTCAGTAACTTGGTTCTCTAATATGGTTGGAAGTCAAGACTTTTTGTGGTTTGCACAACTTTCCCAACCTTGTGGTGGGCCTTTCTATGGGAAGGTTACTTGTCAAAGAGGAACGAAGCTTTCGCCTTGTTGGAGATTCCATGTTGTGGGCTACCTTATTTCAGTTTGTCTTTAGTTTTTCTCGTATGTATCTTTTGGGCTTTTCTATTTGTTGTCTCTTTGTTCATCTTTCTTCCATCTCTTGTTGTCACATTGAAGTTTTGGGCCTCTAGATTTTATGCTGAAGGGCCTTTTCTTTTTGTAATCCTTTTAACATATTAATATACTGTCTTTTTCTCCAACACGTTCCCATGAGAAACAGCGGATCCATTTCTCTTCGTCGACGAACAAGCATTCCAGGGTCCGTCGGAGGCCGTCCATCGTTGTCAGCCCTGCGTGGTTGTTCTCGGGCAAGCAGTGAAGAAGGTTCGAACCCTAGGGCTTTTTCTACTCCTAAAATCCGGTGAGATTGATTTGTTCAATCTGGCTTTGGATCTAGATTCGAATTTGTCCCCCTCGTCTTCTGTTCCCCGCCTGGCTGTTCTTGGTTTGTTTTAAATTTTTCATTTTAAGTTGGCATTGAATCTGGTCGTGTCATCGTATGAATATTGACGCTTTTGAATTTGGGAATGTTTACATATTAAGTTTTTTTTTTTTTCACGAGTTTTTGCTTGAATGGTGTGTGATTGGCTTATACTTCTTCCCACTTCATTCTGGTTACTAGCGACTCGTATGATTTGGATTGTGTTGTTTTGCAATGTTGGATTTGTTGTGTATTGGCATTCTTTTTGTTGATCTTTTAATATTATCATCAATTTTCGACAGTTCTCTACGTATTTGTGATGTATGATCTTGTAAATGACTTGGCTGGAGTTGTGTCAAAGTATCTGAACAAAAAATTAAAAGGTTATTATGTCAACTATACATATTTCAAAGATTTCATTTGCCCCCACCCAGTGTAGTATAGGCCCGCCAATGAGTGCAGAGGGGAGAATAAATAATGAAAAGTAATTATCGAAACCCTTTAGCTCCTGCTCTTCTGTTGATTCTGATTGGAGATGTTATTTAATCTCTTTCAAAATTTGCAGGCCAAAATGACAGGAGTAATTCAGAAGTTTTTTATTGCGTCGCTGTTTATGTGGGTTGCGCCTCTTGCAATTCTCTATGGGTTTAACCATAATCTGCTACCTGGTAAGACTTTAAAGCACTTCAATTTCCTGGGATCATATATATATTTTTGACCGGGGTGCTCGTTTGTTCTGTAATAATGTATGTGTCTTTTGCTTTTTCTCTATTATACCAAGAGCTTGTAACTGTTGTGTCTATTAACTCACAATTATCTGTATATATTAACTCACAATTATCTGTATATAAAGTTGCTCCTTTAATTGGCAAGGGCAAGTAATTGGCGAAATAAACTTGAAATGTGAAGTTCTACTTATATGCCCTTCTCTATTTAGTATCATGCTCCAGAAATTAAAAAATCCCCTCGCAGAAAACTTTCTTAAAAGAGGTTTGTTTCCCGCCCTGTTTGTCAAAAACTGCAGGGTTGTGTCATAGAAATAATCGTTCTGCTCGTCCTTCTCTCCTGAACATTTTGTTTTAGCCTACAGATTTTTTTTCCTCTGCAAGATTATCCACAGTCAACCTTTTTGTTCCAACTTCTGTCTAGAATGAATGTAACTTGAGTTTAAACTCAGAACATGGCATCTCAAATGCTTTTCTGGGAATTTTACTCTCTTGCCTCCATATGTTAGGATTGGGTGCCCAATTTATTACACACTTTTTCCTTCCTCATTTTGCACAGTTGAACGAACCAAACAGTTTATCCATCAAATTGCACGGTGTTCAAATTTGTGATCGACACTGTCTTAGGTAAAAATGGTATATCTAAAGGCTGTGTTTCATTGATGACCCTTGCATGACATCAATTCTTTTAGAAATATGCTAGAAGAAAATTAATTTGATAATAAAATTAGAAATTTCTTCTTTCTTTTCTTATGAAAAGAAATTCCTTCTTTTAATCTTCATGGACTTGGCTTCATGAATTGGCTTCTATACGTATTATAGAATAGTACTCCCATATAAAGGGCATTTAAATGAAATCTTCCCCACCTTCTCCGTCTTTTTGCACCCGTTGAGCTAAGACAGCTATTTTCTTGTATCATTCTTTTCATGACTCAACTTGAATATGGTATACAGCCACAGTGGCAAAAAGGAAAAGCAATGAAAGTTCTGAGTTGGCTTTACTAGCTGTTGGCTAAAAAAAAAAAAAAACAAAGAAAGAAAGAAAGAAAGAGTTGGCTTTACTAGCCTCACAGTTGTAAGACATAACATTTTTGTCTGAAACAGGATCCACCAGTTTGTCCCCTTACTCTACAACTCTGGTGAGCGGATTTCTTGCCGTCATGTCAGTTAATATTGTCATAGTATTTTACATAATTATGGCAATGAGAGAACCTGCAGATAAACATGTGCCGGATCCCAAATTTCTTGCTGAAGCCAAAGCTAGCATGAACCAATCTACAGGGGACTCTCAGCAACCTAATAAGCCTCTCAAAAAACAAGATTAACTCGGAACTCCTAGTTCTTTGTCTTGCAATAGCTAGCAGTTCATCTCAGAAAAGAGAGAAAATTTGGGGTTGAGGTGGAAAGGTCCTGAATTGTATATGCTGCTAAAGCTTCATACAAATATCACATGTGATTCTTCACGAGCACTATTTCCATGCCTTATTTTAAGGCACCAGTGTCTTTTAGTATATACAAGTTCTTTGACAGTATGTGATGCAACTTTTTTCTTCCCCTTTTCACCACTTTGGGTTCTCTGCCTGAGAGAGAAGTGATTTGGAGAAAGCCTGTGAAAATTTTCGCAGGATAACTTTTTGGATAGACTATGTAAGCCGTGGGCATGTGGACATATTAGAGGTGAAACTTGCTGGAAAATTATCTATCCTGTTTCCGTGGTGGTTCTCTATGGATCTAGTCTTTTTCAGGATAGGATGGATCGGATGTTTGTGCATGTATGTCTCAGATTTATCACTCACCACTAATCAGAGTGACACAGCCTTCAATTAAGTTAATGAAAGTTAAGGGTCTGATTGGTTAAGATTTGAGTGTGATATAAAGCAGACCTAATTGCTGATGTCTTGTACGGCGAGGATGAAGGGGAAGAATGTTGACATCGGTTTCATATGTTAAACTGAAATCTAAATTCTGGGCTTCTCCAACGTGATATGATTAGACGATAAGTCAACTTTTGTCGCTTTGTAATCTAGATGCTCCATTCTCTTTATGTTCTCCTTGTCGGTAGCTCCTGAATATACTGAAAACATCTTTCATCTGCGATGAGTAATTGTGTGGTTAATATTGTTTCATCCTGAAAGTGTGGTTAACCTTGTGTTGGTAGAATCATTTTGTTGGAGATTTTTTTAACGTGAATTTACCATATGAAAGAACCGTCTTTTCTATGCACGAACTTTCATTCTCAGACTGTACCTTTTCGTGCATTGAAGATATTTGGTGTTGGATTTCATTAAAATGAAATGTGTGGTGTTGAATGTGAAGGTAAAATTTTACGTAATTCAATAATATCCAAGGGTAAAATTTTATGAGGACTAATGGATGAGCTGCATCAGACCGACTGCTTTTCGCTCTAATCTTTTGGTTCGAGGACTATCAATCTTCATTATCAACATTATCTTCTTCCCAAGAGATAAAATTATTATGTCTGGGGTTTTTTGGTTGCGGAGAGGTTAACTTTTTCAAAACTAATAAAATTGTCATTGTTATTTGTTTAGTGACTTATGGTAAGTTTTACTTTCTGCATTTTCCTGAAGTTATCCTTATTAAATCTCTTTGTTCATAATTAATAAAAGGGCAATTATATCTTGGACGTTAAAGATAATTTCTTTACTTAGAAATAATTTTAACTACTGAAAAAATAATTTATTTATTGATTTCTGAAAAATATAGTCTGAGTTAATTTTATTATTATTCTTTTAACAAGTATCTCATACTCCGAATAAATTTAAAATATCTTGGATATGCCATCCGCCATTATATTACGTGTACTGTGTATGCACCGTACTGGCTAAATCTTTTCACACAAAAGGTGCAACTTAAATTTTAGAGCAGTGTATAACTCCGTCTGTGCAATTCGCAATCCTTCAAGACCAATTAATAAAATATAATATAAAAAATTTATAATAAATTGTACTATATTTAAAATTCAAATTTTAAATCATATAATTTTTTGCTTTAGTATTTATATGATTTATATAATATGATTCAAGGACTCAAGGGAGCAATATCAACAGCAATCTAGTTTAATTAAAATTTTTAGAAGGTCTCACGTTAGATTGGATTGGATGTAACACATGAGATCTACATCAAATGGCATGAATTTGAATTTAAGATCCGTTACTTGAGGGAAAAAATGAAACTGAAAATAAATATTGACATAGCTAGAAGTAGGTCTCGTGTTTCATACGTTGTTAGAGTTAAACAGGATAGCCTCAGAATATAAAATTTATAATAAAAGATTTATTTATTATATTAAACGTAGTACTTAACACAGGGATTGATAATTAATTAATGAAAAAGTTACAATCAAGGATCACTGGAGAGAATTAATTACGTTGCAAAATCAAATGATTTTGATATTATTTTGTACAACCAAAGTAGTAAAAAGATAAAACTATCCTTCATATGTATATTATATACTCTTTTAATAATAACTCTAAAAAAAATTAACTGTGTAGTGGAGAAAAATAAATATTATGATTTAATGAATAAGTTTTCATTTGAAGAAAAACAAATCTAATTTTTATTTTAATAAAAATTAATTCATTTATTAACAATTTTAAAAAATGATTTTGGTTGTTGTAATTTGGTGAATAAGTTTTCATCAAAAAACAGTCTCATTTTTATTTTAATAAAAATTAATTTATTTATTAATAATTATAAAATATTAATTTGATAAAGGGATTGTTATAATTGGGTAAACAAATCTTCATTCGAGCAAAAGAGTTTTATTATCATTTTAAGAATGATCAATTCTCCCATCAAAAGTAGTTTTATCTTTTCATAATAAAATTTAATTATATTTAGGTCTTTTAATTCTGTAGAATAATATTAAAATTATTTAATTCTATAGTATAATTAATTATTTATAGTGGTCCTTAATTGTGATTTTCCCTCAATTAATTGGGTTGATGAAGCGAGTTGGGAGCGTGAAGATAATAGATAATACAGTAAAGTAGAAGCTATGGAGAACACGAACCGAACATGGAAAGCAAAACATGAGCAGACCGCCAAAACACTGAGGAAAATATCTTGGGGCGCACCTCCTGACGTGGCAGCTTTACGGTGGGATCTCCGCTCAGATATTTTCCTCTCAAAAATATCATAGACACATCAAACGTTGACTCCTTTTCTTCCCGTAATTTCATCACTTCATCAGGGTTGTTTATGTCCAAATATTTTCCTCTTTGTTATACTCTGACACTCTGGCCTCCCTCCAATATCCTTCTCTGCTTCCCATTGAGAGCGAGCGAGCGGGATACAGTGTGTCAGAGGCTGTTTTTTCCTTACATGGCGATAGCCAGAGAGATGGAGGACGAAGGAGAGGTTCGGAACAACGCTGGAAAGAGGCTGAAATGCATGAAGAATGAGGAAAAGGATCAAACAGAGGAGGGAGCTGCGGAGGATGAAAGTGAGCTTCCTCTCAAGCCTGGCCTCTTCTACTACCCAACCACTCCTACGTCTTTCGTTGTCTCCGATGCTCTCGAACCCGATTTTCCCATTATCTATGTCAACAAAGTCTTTGAATTCGTCACCGGCTATCGTGCCGATGAGGTTTTGGGTCGGAACTGGTGAGAATTTGTGTTCCTTTCTGTTTTTTCCTGTCTCATCATATGTCCTATATTTCTTTCCTTTTTTTTCTTTACACCTCGTTCTCTTTCCTGTGTGAAAGAGATTTTGAGAAGGTGAAATACAGGGTTTACTGCTTTGGTGGTTTAAAAGTGAAAATACATAATAAATTTGCATGATTAACTACGGATTATTGCTGCGATTACCTTCTTAAAGCGATTTCTTTTGTTGAATGGCGAAATGATTTCGTGCCTTTAGATCTATGCTGAATTGAAGGTTTTGACGCTTTCCAATCGTCCTATCTAGAGGCAAATGGCTGGTGTTAATTCGGTATTCATTTTTAAGAGCAAACTATCACTTTATTCACTCTTTTTTGGCAAGTAAATGGTGTTTCGTCCCTCTTCCTTCACATAACTAAGGGTAATTTCTCTTGTATTCATGTCAGTAAAGAAGATTGCCACCTATTCTAATGTTGTGACTTCACAAGTTGCACGTTTTGCTTTCTCCTAGCCATAATTCTTGTGGCAAAATCTTGTTTTCTGGGTGGAAGCAGCGATCTACTTTATTTCTTCGAATTTCCCGGTGTAAGAATATTACTAGAGTTTCAAAAGTTTATTTTTTAAAAGTTATCTGGTTTTTGTCTTAATTTTAGTGAGAAACATCTAGAACTTCAAATCTAAGGGAGCTTCAAGATTTTACTTTTTTTTTTTTTTGAATTTTTTGTTGCCATGTCTTGGACGAATTCGGAACAGAAATTTCTTAGTATGTCCAGAGAAATCTGGGTCTCGTGCTAGCTTGATCTCTTCCTTTCCTTGGACCTGGAGACTTCGAATTTTTTGGTATAAAGTCTATCATTTGTTTGTGCTTATTTGAGTCATCTGCCACGGAGGAGGGGTTTTGGTTAGTGGAGATGTTTGAAAAACGTGACTTTTATGGCGTTGATAACTTGATATATGATATACTTACCTAAATTTGAACTTCATTTCCGCAAAATTCTGTACATCTTTAAATTTTCAAGATAAATGATCTTGATCTTTTGGGGGTATTTAATATGGGCATTGGTGGTGCATGATTCTCTCGCATCTATTTTTTGAATCGTGGTCTTCTGATTAACCATGTAGCACGATATATAAGTAAATTGGCGAAATATTTGGTGCTCTGAAGCAGATGTTTCTCAAATAATTTGGGTGATTGTAGAGATTAGCCAATTTTGCATTGAAATGTCTGCTTGTACTGAGTTACAATATTTATTAAATAGTTATGGTATGTCACTTGATTATATAATTTTTTTCGAGTTCCTATTTGTTGGGGAAAAAAAATTGTGGTAATTGTTGAAGAATTTTTTTCATCAGAAAGAGCAAGTGTTTGAAACAAGCAGGAGAACTCATCGAAGATGCAGTTTGAATTGGGTTGTCACCCTTTATTTCCTCTTTTCTATGCAAAGCTATCTTACTTATTTTGTTGACTTTATAAGATTAACATATCATCTTTGCTGAGCTTCTAGATATTTTTTAATAGATAAAAGCTTCTCAGCTTGTCAGAACTTTCTTCAAGTTATATATCCAAAGGCACCAACCTAGTTTTGCAAGTATAAACTTCTCATAGTACTTCCCCAGGGATTTGTCCTGCAATGGTTCTTTCTATAGCTTAGGCTCTATCCAGGATAGCTAACAGGCTGAAGAGAGAATGATGAATGGTGCTACTAATCATTTGAAAGTAGTTGACGACAAAATTCTGGTTCTTTTATTTTAATTTCTAGAGCGGCTAGATATGTCAGTTCAATGATATCTTGATTTTCTTCTCTTTTCCTTGTTTGGTCTTCTAACAGACTCTTAAGGGCCAAGGGCAGGGAAGTTGTCTTACATCTTGTCTTTATTTGATAGTTTTCTTTGTTAAAGAATACCCTGTTAACCACTTTGATGTATCTTTTGTTTCAGTCGGTTCTTACAGTATAGGGACCCTCATGCTCAAAGGAGGCACCCTTTGGTGGATCCAGTCGTTGTGTCTGAGATTAGAAGATGTCTTGAGGAAGGTATTGAGTTCCAAGGTGAACTTCTGAATTTCAGGAAGGATGGCATTCCTTTAGTGAACAGGCTGAGGCTTTCTCCGATTCACGATGATGATGGAACTATGACACATGTAATAGGCATCCAGCTATTTTCTGAAGCAAATATAGATCTAAATCGTGTCTCATATCCGGTGTTCAAGGAGACTTGCAATCAAGAAATTGACAAGACCATTAAAAGTTCTCCTAAGAGCGGACAATCATTATACAGCCAGCACCAAGAGATGTGCGGCATCCTTCAGCTTTCTGATGAAGTTTTGGCTCATAACATCTTATCACGCTTGACACCAAGGGATGTTGCATCAATTGGGTCTGTGTGCAGAAGGATCCGTCAATTAACACAGAATGAACATGTTAGAAAGATGGTGTGTCAAAATGCATGGGGAAAAGAAGTGACTGGTGCATTGGAACTGATGACCAAGAAGTTAGGATGGGGTC